ATGTATGAAATTGTTTCATGGGTTTTTTTCAATTATGTACAAAATGCTTATAAAGTTAAAGGTTTCAATTGTGATTTAGCATGTGCTTTCTTCCAGAATATGAAGGAACATGTAAAGACTTCCAAATTCAATCCTTGACCATAGCTAGGATCTACCATATATCCATCAGAAAAAAGAGAAAATAATTATTAGAATTACTAGCTGAAAATATCATCTGCTGTTTACTTAAACGATGTCAAGTATGTTTGCTGTCATTCATATACTGTCAGATGGAGTCTTGCTCTGTCACCCAGGCTAGAGTTCAGTGGCATGATCTTGGCTTAATGCAACCTTCACCTCCAGGGTTCAAGCAATTCTCATGCCTCAGCCTCCCAAGTAGCTAGGATTGCAGGTGTAAGCCACCATGCTCAGCTAATTTTTGTATTTTTGGTAGAGACAGAGTTTCACCCTGTTGGCCAGTGTGGTCTCGAACATCTGACCTCAGGTGATTCACCCACCTTGGCCTCCCAAAGTGCTGTGATTGCAGGCGTGAGACACCATGCCTAGCCCAGAAAATTGTTTATAGAAAAATACATGCTTGTATAAATTAACAGGCTATACCGGATCTTAGAGAAATTTTTATAAAGTGACTTTTTCTTGAGTGCTTTAACTAAAAGCCAAAAGAAGAGTCATGTGTCACCAACCTTAACAATTATTTTCAAAAAAGTCTCCTATGTTCACACCTCTGCTGCCTTACATTAGATCACTTTAGACTTATATGCCCTCACCAACCACTTCTTAGCCTATAGGAACTTGCCATCCATACTTAGCATTTTATTGAAATTATACATTTCCTAGCTGATAAATCTAATGGCAGCTTTTAACTCTACAACATTATTAACTTCTGTGTGGCATTATGGACCATCCTCTCCTTCAAACTCTTTTTTCCTCTGATTTTCTTGATATTGTTATCCTGACACTCCTATTTTCTGACTGTTCTTCTTCAGCTTTCTTCCTCAGCTTTAGTCCTTTGCCCTTCTCTTAAATAGATAATTCTTTTTGACGTATTTCTCTTGCTCTATTTACTCTGTCCTCGCTGAACTCTTCTACCCAGAAAAGCCAGCTGGAGAAGAAAGTTTCAGGAAAGATAGGGGTAAAGAAAGCCAGAGAAGAAAGAGGAGTAGCATTCTGATTTGTTCTTATACAAATACCCCATTTGAGAAACCAAATGACTAAAGTATATTCATTTCTAGTATTTCCTCCACCTACACATCCACTACCAGATCTTGCTAAACTGATCCTTTCTGTCTTGTATGACTAGTCAACCTTTCCTTTTCTACTAGTTAAAACTGTCAGCTAAGGATTATTGATAATATGTGTGACACTTGACACTTGCTATGTTATCTCAATCAGTGTTTATAACAACTCTGTGAGAAAAGTATTTTCATTATCTAGATAAGGAAGAAGGTTAAGTGACTCCATTCTCTTAGCTCAGGTACTAATCATTTCACTTCTGATTGTATCCTAGCTCACCTCCCTACTTTCATCCATATCCCTTTCCAATCTAATTTCCTACTCATTGCCAGAAAGAGCCTTCTAAAAAAAAAAACCACAAACGTGATCACATTACTAGCCTACTTAAACTTTTTCAGTAGCTCCTCATTATTTATAACATGAAGTCCAAATTCTTCAGTAAGAAAGAAACTCACTATTCCTCTCTTGATGTGCCTCTACAGTGTTGTCTCCCATTGCCTCTTGCCCTGTACTCTGGACTCTTTATCAGTACCTGAAGTGCATCATGCTTTTTGATGTCTCCACATATTTGCCCATGCTGTTCTCTTTGCTAGGAATGCTTTCTTCTACCCTGAAACTCTATCCCCTTAACCTAAAATACCCTCGTCCTATAAAACCTAGGAAAATTGACTTTTTTTTTTCTTCTATAGCACTTTCTTCATTTACTTTCCCATTCTCTCATTCTTCACAGAGTAGACTATGGTTTCCATTTTGTCCCCATTGAATTCTGTAAGTACTTATATTTTTGCAGTAACCAACCCATCATAACAGTTATTTGTGTCCCTGTCTGTTTTCCCTAACTAAACTGAAGTCATTGAGGGAATATAAGATGCATTGTTATTTATCCCCAATCCTTAGCATGACTTTGATAATGCAATAAATGCCTTAAAAACTGTTGGTTGTAGTCACTGAATGAATGCTATGGCTTGAGCAGTATTTTTTTTATTCTATCCCACTTAATATTCAAATAAACTATAAAATGAAGAGGTATAGTATATAGCGTATGAGGTCCCTTTTCTATACTTCTAGGATTCTAGTAGTTGTAGAAATGATCTACACTTTGGGAAAGAATGTCTAAAGTGAAAGTGACCCTGAAAAATTGTAAAAGTTGCCAAAATATGGCAGAATAAAAGTTCAGCTAGTTCATTCTATTACAAGGTAGTATGCATTAATATGTATTTAAGGAATGAATTACAAAGAATTCTCAAGCACAAAATGTATGGAACTGTAACAAGCATAAATAACTGAAACAGATACAAAGATAGCATTTTCAGATTGCTGTTTGTGTGGTCCTCATATGTGAGCTTTGCAATCTTTTAATGATCATGCCAGGTAACAGGAAGGAGTTGGTAAGAGGCGGCAGTATAATAATACAAAACAAGTGAGATGATGCAGACTTCTGTCTAAGTCTTTAAATATCGTATCATAACATTGAAGGTATTTGAGTCTCATTGGTGCCCACTATATTCAGTCAATAAAGAATCATATTGAGGCATAATCACCAGACAATGGAATGATTTTCTGAGAAAAGCGGTGTGTACTTTCCTGACCTTTGAAAGTACAAAGTAGTCTGTCTCCAAGATGGTTTAATTGTATTCCCAACTAGGTACAACCACTTTGGACAGCTCTTTGTTATATTCACTTTTTTTTTTTCTTTCTTTTTTTAGGAGACAGGGTCTTACTTTGTTGCCCAGGCTGGAGTGCAGTGGTGTGATCTCAGCTCACCACAGCTTTGACCTCCCTGGCTCAAGCCTGCCACCTCAACCTCCTGAGTAGCTGGGACTACAGGCACATGTTAGCATGCCCAGTTCAATTTCTTTTTCTTTTGTTTGCTTTAGAGATGAGGTCTCACTATATTGCCCAGGCTGATCTCAAACTCCTGGGCACAAGCAGTCCTCCTGCCTCATCCTCCCAGAGTGCTGGGATTATGGGCATGAGCCACTGTACCTGGCCATATTCACTAAAATTAAACACATGCCTATCCTATGACCAGCAACTCCATGTTCAGGACTTTTATGACACAAACAGTTAATAAATCCCATTTAATATGCTATCTGCTTGAAGACCAGATAGCCTTACTAGGTACAAATACAAAATAAAAATACAATTTGGGTGTCTTATACATTCTGTTAAGGGGAACTTTGCTATTGCTGTAGTACAGATGTTTTCAAACTTTGTCTTAGCTATGGAACTTTTTCTTCAAATGTTATCTCGTGAAAGTTAAGTGTCTCGTGTAACAGTTAACTTACAATTAATTCACTCAAATGATATATATACATATATATACACACACACACACATATATACATATACATGTATATATACATATATACACACACACACACACACACACACAAAGTGCATTGTCAGTGAGCAATAATATTTTGAAATGAATCTTTTTTTTTGAGCTGTAGGTCTCAACCAGTGGGGCTTAAATTATTCAGTTTGTGGTTAGGTGTGATGGCTTCCACCTGTTAGCCCAGCACTTTGGGAGGCCAAGGTGGGTGGGTCACCTGATGTCAAGAGTTAGAGAACAGCCTGGCCAACGTGGTGAAACCCCATCTCTACTAAAAATACAAAATTAGCAGGTGTGGTAGTGCACTCCTGTAATCCCGGCTATTTGGGAGGCTGAGGCAGGAAAATTGCTTGAATTTGGGAGGCAGAGGTTGCAGTGAGCTGAGATCATGCCACTGCGCTCCAGCCTGGGTGACAAGTGAGACTGTCTCAAAACAACAACAACAGCAAAATCAGTATGCAATACTTAAAACAGATGTGCGGCCATCCAGGCATTATTATTTTATTGATAGAGCACAGGCAGAGTAGATTTAGCGTAATTTGTACAGACCCCATGATTTTTTGGAATAGGTAATGAGCACCGGCTTCAACTAAAGTCACAAGCTGTATTAGCCCCTAACAGCAGAGTTAGCCTGTCCTTTGAAGCTTTTAAGCTAGACACTGACTTCTCTAGCTATGAAAAGTCCTAGCTGGCATTTACTTCCAATAGCAGGCTGTTTCATCTATGTTGAAAACCTGTTGTTTAGTGTACAATGTTCATCAGTGTTCTTAGGGTTCATCAATGGTCTTAGCTAGATCTTCTGTATAACTTGGTACAGCTTCTGCATTGGCACTTGCTGCTTCACCTTGCACTTCTATGTTCTGGAGATGGCCTCTTTCTTTAAACCTCATAAATCAACTTCTGCTAGCTTCAAACTTTTCTCCTGTAGCTTCTTTACTTCTCTCAACCTACGTAGAATTGAAGAGAGTTAGGGCCTTGCTCTGGATTAACCTTTGGTTTAAGTAAATATAGCTGGTTTGATCTTCTATTCAGACCACTCCAACTTCCTTGTTTTGCTTTCTTATCTTTCATGTGATCCCTGGAAAGTAGCATTTTAAATTTCCTTCAAGAACTTTTCAGGCCACGCGTGATGGCTCACACCTGTAATCCCAGCACTTTGGGAAGCAGAGGCTGGTGGTTCTCTTGAGCTCTGGGTTTGAGACCAGCCTGGGCAACAAACCCTATTTCTACAAAAAAGTAGAAAAATTAGCCAGCCTTGGTGGTGCACACATGTAGTCCCAGCTACTCAGGAGGCTGCAGTAGGAGGATTGTTGCTGCAGTGAGCTGTGATCATGCCATAGCACTCTAGCCTAAGTGACAGAGTAAGACTCTGCCTCAGGAAAAAAAAAAAGAAAAAGAATTCACAACCTGGCTGTTTGGTGTAAGAGGCGTGTCTTGGCTTTTGACTTGCCATCCTCACTAAGCTTAATCATTTCTAGCTTTTGATTTAAGGTGAGACATGTGACTTTTCCTTTCACCTGAACACTTAGATGCTATTATAGGATGATACGGTTTGGATGTTTCATCCCCTCCAAATCTTGTGTTAAAATATGACCTCCAATGTTGGAGGTGAGGCCTAGTGGGAGGCATTTGGCTAATAGGGGTGAGTATGGCTTCATACCCTCCTATCAGTAATGAGTGAGTTCTTGCTCCGAATTCACATGAGATCTGGTGGTTTAAAAGAGTGTGGCAAGTCCCCTCCTCGCTTTATTGCCCTCTCTCACCATGTAATATGCCTGCTCCCCCTTTGCCTTCCACCGTGATTGTAAGCTTCCCGAGGCTCTTACCAGAGGCAGAGCAGATGCTGTGCCATGCCTGTATAGGCTGCAGGACTGTGAGCTGAACAGACCTCTTTTTTAAATAAATTACTCAACCTGAGGTATTCCTTTATAGTGACACCAAATAGACTAATACATAGGATTATTAATTGTCCTAATTTCCACATTGTCATGTCTCGGCAAATAGGGAGGCCCAAGGAGGAACAAAGAGACAGAGAACAGCCAGTTGATGGAGCAGTCAGAACACATAAGGTTTTTTTGGTTACGTTTGCTATCTTATATAGGTCTGTTGTGTCCCCAAACAATTACAGTAGTAACATCAAAGATTATGACAGATTACCATAATATATAATAATGGAAAAATTTGAAGTAATATGAGACTTAACACAGGTGATACAGAGATACAAAGTGAGCATATGATGCTGGAAAATGGAGCCAACAGACTTGATTGACACATGGTTGTCACAAATGTTAATTTTATTAAAAATGCAATAGCTACAAAGTGCAAAAAAAATGAGATATGCCTGTAGTTGGAATCACACAGCATGTAGCCTTTTCAGATTGGCTTCTTTCACTTAGTAATATGTATTTAAGGTTCTTCCGTGTCTTTTCATAGCTTGATGGCTCATTTCTTTTTAGCACTGAATAATATTCAGTTGTCTGGATGTACCAAGGTTTATTTAGCCATTCATCTACTGAAAGACATCTTGGTTCCTTCCAAGTTTTGGCAATTATGAATAAAGTTGCTATAAACATTTATGTGGAGGTTTTTGTGTGGACATAAGCTTTCAACTCATTTGGATAAACACCAAAGAGTACGATTGCTGGATTGTACGTTAAGAGTATCTTTAGTTTTTAGAGAAACTACCAAATCATCTTTTAAGGTAGCTATACCATTTTTGTGTTCCCACCAGCAGTGCATGAGAGTTTCTGTTGTTTCACATCCTTGCCAGCATTTGGTGTTTTTAGAGTTCAGGATCATTGCCATTTTAATAGGTATGTAATGGTATGTCATTGTTTTAACTTGTGATTGATTCCCTGATGAAATACTTTGTGGAACATCTTTTCATATGCTTGTTTACCATTTGTATGTCTTGTTTGGTTAGGAAGCTGTTCAGATTTTTGCCTATTTTTAGTTGATTTCATTGATTTCTCTTCTAATTTTATTTGTTCTACTTACTTTGTATTTAATTTGTTTTTTTTTTCTAGTGTCCGAAGGCAGAAGGCTTAAATTATTGATTTTAGACCTTCTTTTTTAAAACATGTATTTCAGTGTTACAGACTTCCCTGTAAGTACAGTTTTCACTCCACCCCACAAATTTTGATGTTATATCATTACTTTTTACTTAGTTTGAAATATATTTAACTT